GAAGGGATTAAGGAAGAAAAGGATTATTATTCACAATCAAGCACGGCCCTTCAGCTATTTGACTTTAACCCTCCATCAATAACTTATTAACCTAAATAAACTCAGGCATTTGTTCTTGTCAGGCCTATGTTTAAAGTGCCTCTTCAACAACATTGACTTGGTATGTAAAGTTAAATATTTGCAGGTTTCACAATATAGACTAAAATTAGTGTGAGGGCTCCTTGATACACGATGTGACAGCCCACACAGTGCTGCGTGCTTTCAGAGACTTAGGAAGAATGGATAAAAAGGCCGGACTGTGATTTTACAGCAAGAGTAGCAATCGCCACTTAACTAATAGATTAATTCTGTAAAGTAATTCTGTCGGATTTGGGGCTCTCTCTCGTCTTACTGAGGCATTTCTTTATTATCCCATTATGGTATAATAAAGATACATCTCATCCTGTCACCTGGCTCCGTTTAAAGATTCCTGTTTTCTTTTTTGTTTCTTCGCCTCTCCTCCTCCGCTCCAGCATGACATGACCTTACTTCCTACTTACAAGCAGTCAGAGGAGTTAAAGTCAAAGCTAGTCTGGCTGTCTCCTCCCCCTCCTGTCTCCTCCTCATATTTTTCTCTATCTCCTTCACATTCTTTCCTCCACATCCTTTTAACCCTCTCTTTCTCTCTGTCCACATCCTGTCTTCCAAAAAAAGCAGCGTCTCTTTTGTGTGACGTATCTTCGCCTTCATCATTGTGTTTTTTGTTTCTCATGGTCTCTCCTAACCCTTGGCTGCTTGATAGAATTACTGAGATTTCTGAGTGATTACATGGAGCAACTCAAACCTTAACACATGACAGGGCTTATTGTAGATCCTCCTCCCTCGCTCTCATTTGTAGTGATTATAATTTTGTCCGTCCTTCAAGGGCTGCAGCTACAAACATTTCCTGTATCAGTACCCAAAGTGGAAATTATTTCAAGGTATGTGACATCTTCGTTTGTCTTGCTTTGTCCAAGCATCAGCCCAAAAATACGTTAAATTTAAAACAAGTTTTTCTTTTTTCTTTCTTTCTTTTTCTTTTTCTTTTTCTTTTTTTTTTAATGCAGAGAAGCAGTGTAGATGCTACACTTGGGTAACGCTTGGCTTTTTGATTAGAAATAATGATTCATGATTTGACAAGCCATTCCCAGCTCTATCCCTTCTAACAGTGAGTATTTGTGAGTATGTGGTACACATTTTAGGCTACTTTGGCATTGTTTCAGACTGCAGGCGGGATCATTCCCGAATCATCAAGCTACACTGACTCAGCAATGTTTGTTTCAATGAGTGGGTCGGTAAGGTCCTCTGTTTCAAATCAAATAGCTCACCAGGCTGGAGGCTGTACACAGGAGCCGTTCGGTGCTGTTTTATGATGACAAACCCATGATTGAAGCACAGAGGACCAAGTGTGGCCAGATTTAAGGTTGGCTGTTTAGGCTGTATTTTCTGTTTTGATCAGTCCCACCCACCTGGTGAAGTTTGAGCCCCAGTATATGTATTCATAGTACTCTATTCATTCTAGCTGTTGAGTGAAAGGTTGTATTTGTCAGCAGCTGTAGACAGACCTTCCTGTTAGGTCACTAGGTGGAAAATTAGTCAGAAGACTACAAATGTCACATTGACGAAGGGACGTTTTCCCAAACATAATAAATGTTAGTCATATTTTTCAGCGCGTGTGTGAGTGTGCGCTGTGGTGTCTGCCGTGCTAAAATTTGTCTTTTCCTGTGTAGTTTCCTGTCTCGTCTTTGCCCATCACTGGGAATCACAAGGTTCTTCCACAGTCTTCCCACTAACAAATTCCCCATTCTTTATATAGCAGAAGCAAAACTAACAGACTCATGAGGCTGAGGTTTGTTGTGCATCAAGTGTTTGTAGTGAGTACATCGGTAAGGTAAGATCACAGCATCGCAGAGAAATTGAAGCAAATTTTTAAAGATTATTATTATTGATTGTTCATTTAGTGTTCAGAGTTTCATTTATAGCTTTCTCCTTATTTCTTTTTGAATAGTTAGCAAAATCCTTCCTTAAGAAAACAAAAGGACGGGGGAGGGGTTGCTCTTTGTTGAACACTTGATCCTAGTGTATACTGTTGAAAATATACAGTGCTGTGCAAAAGCTTACATTTCTTTCCTTTTTTCCCTCTACGAAAATGGGAAGTCGTTGCAGCTCTTTTTTGAAATGTGCAAAACTACAAGAGATGCAGTATAAAAAAACAAACAAATTTTGTGCAATTCTAACACCTTTATTCTTCAGCACAGTCTTATCTCTTTTAGACAAACTGTCCTATAATTTGTTAAGTCCTCGGTGAACAGAAGATTGGTCAACTGAAGGATCAGATGCATCTTAAAGGCCCTGTGTCAGGTCTTTGATTGGCTTTTTTTTTCTTATTTCTTAAATATGTGACTTTCCAATAGTGTTCATGTGTTGTAGAGAGTCTTTAAGCCTGCCATTTCTTCTTTTATCCTCTACAAAAAAAGAGCACACATTGCTGAGATATGCACCGTTTTCAGCTAATATCTCTTTGGGAATTGCCTGTTTGGTCCAAACTACTTTTCCTGGATTCAGCTTAAAAAATTGGAACAATTTATTTGCCTTTGTAAAAGACTGCTAGTAACAATGTGCCTTAAGATACAGTTTAAAATGTCTGTTATGTGTAGACACAACACTGGTTCCTTGAGTTAGGGTCCTTTTTCAGGCTTGAATGATTCATAGGCCAGTGTTAAGTGGCTTAACAAACAAAACATTCCTGTGAAATGAAATGTGAAAGAAAAACTTTGAAATACCTCTAGAAAGCTTGGAGAACTGCTGACCACGCCCACTTGCAAGAAATTGTAAAGAAAAGAAAAATTACAAGAAAGTCTGACTCCTTGGAAGCAAAATCTAAAGAAATCAGACATGGCTCAAGACTTTTGCACAATACTGTAGCTTCAATATTTATCTTAGAAATATCCTCACATGGTGATGCCTTGTCTACAATTGACTACAACCAAACTATTAATATGTCCAGAAAGGCAACATAGTATTGGGCCACTGACTGTTTATCTTGTAGTTTTTTTTTTTTCTCTAGTTCACTTCTGAGCTGCTGGTCTGTCTGAGTAAGATAGCATTTTCATGTTGTGAGGATACTGAAGACGTGTTTTCTCTTTTTCACAGCAACATGACTTGTAGTTTGTTTGGCTAAAACTGAACTATCGGAGTAATACTCTAGGGATAAACTTCCCTACTTTTAGGGACTGGGACTTTTAAAGCAAAGACTGGACTGAAAGGTCATGGTTAAAGTGGAGTCAAAACAAAACTGGACAGTATATGATTTAAAGAGACAAGATCCAGAGTGGAAGTGGCTGATTTTGACACATACTGTTTTTTGCGTCAGTGTGTAGCCACAAGTTAGCGGTGTTCACACTCACAGCAAATACTTTTGTGTACATTGTGATTGAATCAGGTGCTCGCATTGTTTCGTTGATGATGGGCTAACACAGAATTACTTGCGACGTTGAACTTAATTTCTCCTTCAGCCCAATTTTTATCCCTTAACTGTAAAAGACTAATGGGGTATTGTAGTCACCTTGGCAGGCAGTGTGGCTGCCCGTGTTTTTGCATGTGCTAACTCGAGAAGAAGGCAATGTGGGATTTTTTTTTTTTTTTAAATATACCAAAAGTGCATTTATAAAAAATCTTGATCAGTTCAAATCTCATTGACCTCAATGTCAAGGCCCCAGAGTTCAGGTTTTCTGAAAATCTGGTGAATGAGGGGTAGCACTGGTAGCTGTGAGAATCCACAGTGTCCTGAGCAGAGTGCAGTTGTCACATAACATTATTTACACTCTCCAAGATCAGCTTGCGTAGTGAAAAACATTTACAAGGATGTTGTGTCTTCCAGAATTGGTCCTTGGCAAGAGAAATTGTCACTGTGTTTCCTGCTGAAAAGATTTAGGAAGTGTTATCATTGCTACACTACTTGGTTTTGAAATGGATACATTTATTATTAATGGTTTCAGGATTAGTTTCTTAGGGAAAAAGATGTGATGGAGGTCAAAAAACCCATTAGGCTTGGGACATTAATGTAAACCTGGAACTCTGGCGCTGTTGGTTAAACAAACAAATAAATGTGCTTCATTAGACCTTAGTATGAGAGGATGTCTTACATGTTTGCTAAACTTAACACTCCACGGCATAACATCAGAATATATTGCTCTGATGCCAGAGTTTGTGTTTATGTGTGTGATCGTACATTTTAATTAGAAATAAATTTCTGACATTATCTATGTTAAGTTTCACAGGCGAGAAAGTTAGCCTGTGTGCAATGTATCATGCCTCCCATCGCTACTCGTGTGTAATTTTGCTGTGTGTTCAAGTCCCATAGTGTACAAAAGATGCATGCACGAGCGTTCACATGGACACAGTTTGTTACTTCTTCCCAAGGTAGTCTAATCACTTTACCTATGTTCTACCTACCTCTCCAAGTCTGCCTGTCTGACTTGCCAACATGGATATCTCTTCTTTCTCTCTTTGACTCCTTTTGTCTCTCTGTTATTTTCAGTTCCGGTTAATAGCATGAGTTACTAAACTGTGGCTCCATATTGGCATGGTTTACTGATTTTACTAACAGGTGAAAGATCCCTAGTTTGATCCTGGGAGGAGAAATAAATCCCTTCAGTGTTACATCAGAGAGGAAATCTGAAGAAAAACAACAATCTGCCAAGTCAAACATGTGGAGCTATCTGCTGTAATGAAAAAAGAGGGAAGCTAAAAGTAGCTTTTAGAGACCTAATGCTAATCTCCAACATTTTCTTTAGACTGTAATTTGAAAAGGATTCAGGAAGTATTAATAGTATAGTTGGGTAACTTTAACAGTGTTCTTGCATTTTCCTCAGTGCATTATCTGCCATTGTGAATCAGTCAACACACCACATATATGACAGTTTTTGGAGGGATGGGTTGTTTTAAGTGACATGTGTTTTTGATGACTGGATTTTATGCGTAAGATATATATGGATTAACCACGCTATAGCTGCATCCATAGGTTCATGGATATTTCTTAAAATAGATTTTTCTGAGTTTGTGTTGAAATTGCATAAAGCATTCTCAGGTGTTGTCAAGAGCACGCTAAGGCAAGAGGTGGTGATATCATCCTGAGAACTATTCAATGCCCACTACAGAGGACATATTGAATAGACTATTGTTCTAATGACCCATTGAGGTTTTGCCGACATGTGACCACTATTAGCATGATGTCAATTTGTCTGCCATTCTGGATGTTTGACATTCATGGTGACCATGTAGGTTTAAGTGAATAAGTACGTAAATTACACACAGACATGGAGACCTGTCTGAGGCAATCTGGCAACCTCCTGTTGCGAGGGAAAAGTATGTATTCCTCAACCAGTTGGCAAAAACCTGTTTGTGATTTGGCTGTTATTATATTGCTGTGGTCGTAGAATAAATCTAAGTGATGCACTTGTCTAGAAACATTTTTCAGATATTCTCCGAGCTCTAGAACAAACAGAGAAAAGTCTGATTCAAACTGTAAATGGACACAGTTGGCTCAACCTTTACTTTGAAGATGAAGCATCTGCATTTTCTTTTCTTTTTTTTTTTTTTCCATTTTTCAAGTTTTGCTTCCACTGGGTTGCCAAGTATTTGCACACAAAACATGAAACATTGCAGGCAACTGTAACCAAATCAAACACTAGGAGGTTTTTGATGCAGCACCTTCTTTGCAGCGATAACTATATGGTGGAAAACTTGTTAGCAATGTGGTCATGAGTATAAGAAACCACAATAATATAAGAAACCGCAATAATGCTGTCATCCCAGAGTGATACACCATGTAAGATACACACCACAACAGTGGCAGGCCAGCACAGTTCCAGCAGGTCAGGTGAGCCCATATTTTCATGGTGAGGGTTGAAACACAGTAAACCGGCTTTATAGTCACAGGGACAAATGGGGCACACTTTTATTGTCTGCTTAGTCAGTAGGATAACGTTATTCAGAAAGAGCGGTGAGGGCAGCCTTGATTCTCACATTGATCACTTTAGAAATGCAAATCATCAAATTCCATCTCTTTAATGTGCGCTGTTGTGAATCGCATATAAAAAAAAAAAAAGTTTATCACTCTTTGTTTGTGTAAACTCAGCAAACATGAAATGTTAGTGAAGTAAGAATCAAAGCATCTTTTTTTTCAGAAGAAATGAACTTCTGATGTGCACAAATCAAGTAGTGGCTGACTTTTGTGAAAGATGTGGACTAAAGGATGTATTTTAATATACAGGTGATATATTATGGCTTTGTTGTTTATGTCTGAGTGTCATGTTACACCCCGGCCTAGGCAACCGGCGTGCAACGTATGAAAATAAAAATAAGAGAAAAAAAAACACACGAGAAAAAAACTAAAGCTCTCCACCAAAATCCCAAAACGAAGGTATCTCAAACTAAAATATTAAGAAACCCATTCACAGCTATTTACTACAGACTATTTATTTATAACAAAACACCAAACTATTTACAACACGGGGGAGATCGCGACCATGACCAACTGACACACAGGGCTTAAATACATAGAAGGAGCAATCAGGGAATGGACCACAGGAGGGAAACACAGCTGGGGCAAATTAGACCTGACGAGACAAGGAAACGTAAACTGAACACACTAAGATAACAACAGACCTTCAAAGTAAAACAGGAAACACATGACAGTCACGCAAAAACAAAACACTGACAACACAGAAACGTAACATTTCCCCCCACCCAAAAATCAAACATGTAACCCCAAGTGAAATGTTTGATCAAAAACGGATGAAGGCGAACGAAGGCTGAAGCGGTCCCTCCAACGGACCCTCCAGCGAAGACAAACGAAGGCTGACGAAGGCCGGAGCGGTCCCTCGGACCCTCCAGTGAAGGCGAACGAAGGCTGGAGCGGTCCCACGGACCCTCCAGCGAAGGCAATCCCGGACGAGCCCCCATATGTTACACCCCGGCCTAGGCATTTAACATAGGCTTTGAGTATGAAAAGATATCTTTAAAATTCACAGCACAGGATAAAATGTCAAAAACACTAGGTTTGGGAGTCTGACAAAAAAAACAAACAACATATTTAAGATTTTTTTCCCACTGATCTCTCCGATTGTGTCTGGAATTATCCCACTAATACATCAGTAAAGTTCTTGAAGGGATTTTTCCAGATTTCTCTAATCCCTTTCCCCTTTAAAGCCTCTTAAAATGCCACAAAACTTATTCCCCTTTTCATTAGTTAAGTGCAGTATAACCAAGGCCACTAACTCTAATTGGACTATTCTTTAATAGTCTGTATACTTACTGTTTACTCTTGACTTTTACAGTGCTGATTTTTGGATACTGTGGCTTTCTTCTCTGAGAGAGAAAGTTTAAAAAGCTATATTGTACAATTGTCGGTACATTCTAATTGAAACTAACCTTCATTACACATATCTCTGTCCTGTGCATTCCAAGTCCTTATTAATCTGTGTATTTAAAAGACAGATCTGCGTAGTAGCCTTCAATCCATGGAGAGAGTCAGAGTGTGACCTTCAACTAAGGAAATCCTTACATTGTAGCTTGTGACAAAGGGTGAAGGGTTAGGTATCCTGAAAATAGTAGGTATACACAGAATATTAATAGTTCTTGCCTGTCCCCAAGGCAAGAACTATTAGTCTTTCAAATGGCAGGGCAAAACCCTATTTAAAAAGCACAATTATAGTTCTTTGTATGCTATATCATATTGCACACAAGGCTTTAAGATATAGGCATCTGCACTTAGTTTGTAACAAAGGACTATTTGTGTTTAATACAACTAAGAATCCAACAGTGTTTTTAATAATGAGGTGAAAGTCCAAGAGGACCACTGTAATTGTTATGTCTAATGATTCTACACTTGATTGCCCTCTAATCTTGCTGATTTATGGACCGGTGTGTTCTCCCAGCTTTTTTTTTTTTTTTTGGTCATTGGTACAATGTTGCAGTAGCTGTGTCCTGGGACTACAGTCTTATCAGTCACTCTCTCTATCTCACTGAGTGCCTCTAGTTGACCTTCCTCTCAGCGCTCACTGGCCCAGGCCTAAATAATAAATGAACAGCCTGGAAAGAGCCGAGTGTGTGAGCCGCGTATCTCTACTTGGAAGTGAACGAAAGCCAATGAGAGGGATCTCACTGACCAGGGTTGTCAGGGGTGGGAACTTGCACCATAACAGGTCACATACTTGTTACTTAACTGCATTGCCACAACATCCATCACTCACTCTCACCGTGTGAATACCCTGTAACACATGTAATGTGTGTGCTGGGCTGCAGGGTGTGTCAGTCATTAATGAAAAGCATCCCACCCTCTCAAGTTTCCTTCAGGAGAGGAGTGGGAGAGGAGTGAGTAGGGGAGAGGAGCTCAGGGGTTAAAGATAACAGGATTAAGAGAGCAGTATGTTGTCATTATACTGTAACATAGCCCTGACATTTTGTCTCACTGCAGTTTTTCCTTCTCTCTCCCTGACCCACAGGCTGAAGACAATGTCATTCAAGTTGGTGAAGACTTTATACCTAGATCACATCTTTTGAAGACTTACCAAAAAGTGCACCAACACTATCAACAGGAAGTTGTGAAATGTTGTTATTTGACCACCCAGAAATATTTTAATTCTGTCAAATATTGTTTATTGTCAGTAACTGAAGTAGGACTCCTTTTTTTATTCTCATTGGATGTTTGGTTCTTTCCACCTTGTGGATTTGTTTTTCACTGCTGCCTATGGATTCTCACAAATCCACACCTCCTTTGGACCATATACTGAAGCATGATTGCTATCTGTTTGGATTAGAAGCTAAGATAGACTGACCTTTTATAGTTGTGTTTTGTTTTCTCTGTTTGCCAAGTGGATGATTCGCCAAGTTATCCAAAGTAGAAATGGATTGGAGGACTGACAGCTGGTTGAAACCTACCCTTTGGATTATTATGTTTTGGACACCTTCCTGCTGCTATTTTACTTTAGCACGATAAGAGTTTTTTAAAGATGGGAAAGAGACAGAAATATCTGTCACCTGATTGCACAACTTAGTTTCTTTCCCATCATATTTTTGAAATTTTTGCTGTTTTTTGTGGTTCAAGTTACTTTTAAAGATGAACTGCAGTATCTTTTTGTGTTCTCCCACCCTGATGTAGGCCTCTTTGGCTTCCCTATAAAAAGGACAGGAGGCATATGATAAATTAAGAAGGCTGAAACCCCCTAAAGGATATCCTCACATAAGTGAAAGAAACAGTACTATAGTAGCTGAGCCGCTGTGGCGGTGCGGTATCATGGCAGCAGATCACGGCGAGCTGCTTGCTGAAATGGCAACCATGGGGCGTCTGAGTGCCACAGAACGGCTCAAGCATGCCAAGAAGCGCCGCGCTCAGCAGCTGAAGGCTTGGGCACAGATGGAAAAGGATGCAGTACGAGGGTCGAGGGCCAAAGCAGATAAGAAGAAGCCACGCACCACCAAAGTGACATTCCCCAGTGCTGTCACCCTGCTTGATGCTGCTTCCCGCAACGACCTGGATGAAGGTGGGTATACACACTGCACAAAAAGTTCATAATCAGAAAACAACAATTTTTTTTCAAGTGCTTCAGCTTAAACTCAGTGATTTTAGAGCATCAAAGTGCAATTATATACTAATCCAGGGTATTGACACCTGTAGAAGACTGATCCAGATCTCAGAAACGTGTGAAGGAAGACCCCAGAAGTATTGGTGTGCCATGAATTGACTGTAATGCCGAGGCTTCTTTGTCCTGTATCTGTTGGCATTTGCTGAAAGAAGCTCTTGCACTGTAAAAAACAATGACTTACAGGAACTGAAAAAATTGTACTGAATATATTAGAGATTAAAAATAGTATTAAGAGCTTTATTACAAGTTGTTGGATCTGAGCTAGTTGGTAAGGTGGTAAATCCTTTTACATTTTACATAGAACAATCTTTACAAGATGGTATATGTTCAGGGCAGGTAAATGGCAAGGTTGTTTTTGTTTGTTTGTATTTTTTATGGAAAAGACTCTGCCCTGATGGTCATGCATAATCTGTATATACATGATTGTAAATTTCTTTTTTTCTTTTCTTTTGTGCTAGTGAGGGAGATGCTTAACAGCGGAATCAACCCCGATCTGGTCAACGAGGATGGACTGACTGCTCTGCATCAGGTACACATGCATTTAGCTCCAGGAGCTGCCACCAGTCAACCACTGTTCACTGTTAACACTGCCAGTTGTACAAACTCAGATGCCTCCTCTCACTTACCTAGTTCTGCCTTTGCACTAATCAAATGCTAAATTGTCATCAACATTACTGAGTTAAACACAAATCAGTTCTGCTTACGCGGCATGATTTTGTTACGGCCGGTAAAACCACATGTTGCACATATACCACTGTCAACATTTAGGCCAGTTCTGTTCTGTGTCTGTGTTTATGTTTGTTTGTGTGTGGTCACAGTTTTGAGCTCACCAAGTACTAGTTGTGTTTATTATGTCTTAACGTTTTCTTGGTTACTTTACATAAAGAAAGTAGTTATTACCCTGATTATAGATGGAAAAGGTGAAAAAGGGTTGTTGTTTTGTTTGTTTTTTTCTTGCATTCCTATTTCTGGGCAACCTCAGTCACACTTAACCACCACAATATTGCTGTGTTTTGTTAGTTGACACCTTAAGACACCTTAAATCCTTGCGATTTTCTCACCCCTTTTTAATTTCTCCTTATGTTTACACATACACGCACTACTACACACTCCTGAGAGGACTGTTTGTTAGCACAGAGAACTCTTTACAAGAGCGGTTTGCTTTGCCGTTTCCCTTGGAAAATGTAGTGTTTACACAGAGGGCTGAGTACATGTAAATTCTTTTCTTTATCCAGTGCTTTAGTTGACATTAATACTAATGTTTAGATTTTTCTATCTCTGTTTGTACTCGTTTTCTAACATCATATTTTTTCCCTCAAGTTTATTCCATCCGTTTTTAATAAACGGTCGACAATTTTCAGAGGCTTCAAGTTAATTAGAAAATTGAGTGACAGGCAGTTTCCATGACATATTAAGCAGAAGAATAGTTCCATTTGGGATTTTCTCACTGGAACTCCTAAAATGATGTTCAAAGAGATGTTGTTGTAAGTGAGGGAGACCATCATTAGGCTGAAAATCTGCACAAACCTACCATAAGTAGAGGAAAAACTTGAGGAGGGTCCAAATCAGGAATCTTGTTAATTCTTAAAAAGAAGGAATGCTCTGGTCATGTCAGCAAAATCAAAAGTCCTTAAAGACCCCAGAAAACAGCTAAGGTGCATTATGACATAATTATTTCTGTGATTGAGAAAAACAATTTCACAACATCTGACTAAGTCAAGAACACACTCAATCGCTCTCAAGGTCTGCAAGTAAGAGACGCCTTTATAAATGTAAATACAGAGGCTTTACCAAAAGGAACAAACCACTGGTTACACTCAAGAACAAGATGATCAGATTAGACTTTGACAGAAAACCTCTAAAAGAGCCTGCACAGTTCTGGAAACAAAAGCTTTGTACAGATGAAACCATTATGAATTTATGCCAGAGTGATGGGAACAGAAAAGTGTGGTAAATGAGAGAAACAACAAGATGAACCAAAGCATACCACACTATCTATCAAACTTGGTAGGAGCAGTGTCATGGTATGGGCATGTATGGGTGCCACAGGCCACTAGTGTTTATTGATGATGCGATTGGTGATAGAATGGCAGGATGAACTGTGAAGTGTACAGGGCTATACTTTCTGCTCACATTCAGTGAAATGCTGCAAACTGATCAGAAACACAGTGTTAATGGATAATGGGTCAAAGGAAACTGCAAAAGCATCCAAAGAGTTTCTCAAGGCAAAGACATGAGACATTCTTCAATCGCCATGTCAGTCAGCTAATCTCAAACCGAGCGTGTTTTCAGTTATTAAATACTAAACTGAAGGCACAGAGTCTCACAAACAAGCAGCGACTGAAGCATCTCAGCGGAAGAACAGAATTTGGTGATGTCCTTGGGTTCTAGACTTTAGGGAGTCAGTGACTGCAAACGGTTTATACCAAAGTGTTGAAAACAATCCTTACATTTAAAACATTTACGTTGGTTTGTCCAATTACCTTTTGAGATTTCCAAAAATGGAATATATAAAAATAGCTGTATTTCCTAAATGGTTATTACAGTACTTTGATTACATCCAGTGGATTCAAATGGAAATTTTGCACTTCAATTACATCATGTTTAAAGCACAGGCAAAAGCACAGTATTAAAAAAGAATCTGTCATTGTCCAAAAACTTATGGGCCCAATTGTATCTGTTGTCTGTTCTCAGTGCTGCATTGATGATTTTGTGGAGATAGTGCAGTGTCTGCTAGACGCTGGTGCCAATGTGAATGCTTGTGACAGTGAGTTGTGGACCCCTCTGCACGCTGCTGCCACCTGTGGACACACTGGTCTGGTGCAGCTCCTGATTCAGGGGTGAGTGCTGCCTCACATCATAACTTTTCTGTTTCTCTCACAAAATGTTTAAATTTCTAAGCTAATATGTTTTGTTTATAATGTGCTTTTTTTTTTTTTTTTTTTTTTGTTTCAACCTCAGTGGATGTTACTTGCTAGGCCACAACTGAGACTTAGAGCCTTCTTGGGAAGAGAAAGCAATTTCTGAACCCAATGCAAATGAAAACACTTAGAGTGACACACCCTAATATGCAAAGCTGCTAACTCAGGTCTTTTTGAATATGGATATGTGTGCTTTCAGTGGGGCCGATCTGCTGGCTGTCAATGCGGATGGCAACATGCCTTATGACATCTGTGAGGACGAGGCTACCCTTGAGCTGCT